ACTGTTCGCTGAAGTATTCTGCCCAGCGATCGAGTCGTTGATCCCTATTGTGGATATCTCGTCCCATCTTATCGCAGACTGTTTCATTATCTATAGTTCACTGACCTCCCGTATTGCGATTCAGTCGGAACAGTCTTTGACTGTTCTCTGATGCAGCTGCTTGGGTTTCATCAGCTATTGTTTCCCATCAGTTCTCACGGTCCTTCTTAAGGCTCTTCGTGGGCTGATTTTGTAGGTGCCAGTTAACTATATTTTGATCATGGCAGGTCGGGACTTGCCATTTTTGCTCCATCAGCTACTGACTACTGAGATGTCCAATGCCTCCGACGGGCTTGAGGCTCAGACTCACAAGCAACATTCGCTGCGGAATGCATTGCTCGCCTAATCTGATCCCACTGCTAGTCTACATCACCACGATGAAGCGCACTTAGCTTACGCACTAGCTCTGACTCAGCGTGCACGAACGGCTGGAGCAGATAGTCGTTGATGAGCTATCCGAGCTTGCTGGTTTTGTCGCCGACCAGTCAGTCGGAGAGTGAAGTGCACCAAAACTACTGCGTGGTCAGACTCGACGCAGGTGGTCCAATAAGACCTGCAATTTTGCACCGAGCCACGCCAACGGTGGCTTACTGCGATGTGGTCGATTTGAGTTAGCGTACCAGTTGAACTGGAGCGCCACGTTGCCGTCCTTCGAGAGCTATGTCGGAATTTAGTGCTGGATGGGAACGGATGATGGTATCGCAGAACTGAAGAAGTCGATCGTCATTATCTGTTTGCTGGCTGGGCAGAGCACAGTGACCGCCTAGACAAGCTTCCGATGCGCTCAATTTTCCAACTTGAGCGTTCAAATCGCCTGCGGGAACAACTTTATGGGAGTTTCGGCTGAACCGAATGAGTTTGGTGAAATCATCACAAAACTCGTCCTTTTGTGCGTCAGAACTGCAGTTGTTCGGTGCATACGCTGAACTGATGAACAAACACCTTTTAGTTTCTTCCCTTCCGGACGCTGATAGACCCTTGAAGCCGCGTCACACAAACGACTGTTGACGGGGATCCAATCGAGTAGTGTGGCTTCGTCTGTATTGTTGAGTACAATGCTCACACCACGCTGGCCTACTAAACGAGTGTCATCGTTGCCTGATGTGCGAAGAACGTATCTCGTCGACAAATCTGGCGCGTTCAAGTGGCTTAGAGTAGTAGGATCCCGGATCCGAGTTTCCGACACGCAGCAAATGTCGATTCCTAAGGATTCCATTATACGAGCCAGACACGCTTGTTGACCTACCTGCATCAGATTCTTCACGTTAAAGGCCCCCAGATTCAGTGGCTGACGAGGCTTTAGAATCTGCAATCTATTATGGGGTAAACTACTTACCGGGCTACTTGGCGACGAACTTTGGCAAGTGACGAAGTTGTCTGAGGGAATGTTACGGGTCGGAAGAAGGGGTAAAGAGAGAGGGTTGGGTATGGAAGACAAAGAGTTAAACAAAGGTTGGGATATCTGGGTAGTAACCCACATATCACTACCCACCCCGCTCGATGCAATGGGAATCGCGGTCATGAGTATCCTGCGCGACGACCGATGCAGTATGAAATTATCTTTATTTTGTGTATGCATTGGGGTTTGGTGGACGGGTGCCGCTAGGGTGTCCAGCCATTAAGCAGGAGTACTATTAGGGTTCTCGTCCCTTAGTTCTAACAAAAACCTAACCGCAAAGCAGCGGATGCAGCGAAGTGGAGGCGCATTTACTTGGATCGATTACTCCTCCACCGCTTTTTATCGACTGAGACGCCAAATTCCAGGCGAACCCCCAACCTGGAGGACCAGGAGACTGAACTTCGTCTACCCATTGACCTTCCAGGCATGATAAGATCTCCTGGCTTTATAATGCCATCGTGTGTAGCTCGTTGGGTCACAGAGGTGCACAAGCCATCACACCACGTCAAGGTGTAGTCTCATCGTGATGGTTGCTTGATCGTTGCTGAAGCCTAATGTTCACAATTCGTGTGGTGTTGACGCAGAGGTTTAGTCGCTGTCACAGGCGTTCTTTGGACCTTGTGGTCCGAGGTTCGTGCCCCGCCATCACCACCCAAATTTGGTGGCAGGCAGCTTTGCTGTCGCTCGGTTCTATGCCACGCCTGACCTATCGAGGCCTTATGTGGTTCGCCATTCCAAGTCCCGGGGATCAGGTTTACGGTTACCGTCACTGAACAACAGGTCTTCGTGACTATGTGGTCCACCCCGTCTGCTGTTCACCACACTGGTGTGTAATAAAAAAGTGGTTAGAACACTGCGTTTTCAATGTTCACAAGTTCATTTCAGTTCATAAGTGTCAATGTGTTCTTCGAAGAAGTTTTTGAAGCTAGCCGGGCCTCTTTATGAATAGATATACATACTTATTTATCTAAGTACGTTTCATCATTGTTGTCTTCTTTTTTTACTTAGCACTGAGCCGCACTGCGGCAACTTCTCTGAGGTGTGATGGATTCCATANCGTCAAGCAGTGACGCGAACCGCTCTCGGGATTGCTGAATATGTGGTTCCTGTTCTCCGCACATCCAAATTTCGTGAGACCGGTGTCATCACACCCGGGGAGTTCGTGGCCGCTGGTGACTTCTTGGTCCATCACTGTCCCACATGGCAATGGGCTGTCGGTGATAAAGCTGTTAAGAGTTACCTCCCGTCAGATAAACAATTTCTCGTTACACGCAATGTGCCCTGTTATAAACGTGTTCGTCAAGTAGACAATCACAACGAAGATCTCGAAAAAGTTATCGAAGATGATGAAATCGGCGGTGAATGGGTTGATACTCATCACTATGCCTCACAGTCCGGTAAGAAGAACACATGGTAGAAGATGGCGGTTCTGTATCTAGGTTTCCATTAGTCTACGGAGTCTATGCGTTTTCAAGTTTTTCTTTTTATTCACTTGTTACATATATATATCCTTCCATATGTTTCGTCTAAAACTGTTTCGTTACCGGTGGTATTCCAAAATACTTTGATGGCGAATTGGTTCTAGAATTCACCACGCAATTCGATGCTGGCAACCATTCTTTTTGTATCAAATGCTCACCTTAGTTACTGCTGATTAACTGCCATCACTTTCGTCGGATTCGATCGCTCATTTTTTATTGGAACTGACTAAGCCGTTGCACCAAAATTTATTCGCCCATGTGCAATGCAGAAGCTAGGTTTCTATCTGGCTCGTCGTTAGCTACGGCTGAATAATAGCCGTCGATGTGTCAATCGTTCTTATTTGCTCTTATGTGCTCACCACTTCAAGTCCTATAGCTCACGTTTACCTAGCTTAACGGGGTTATTTTTGTAACTATGAGGTTTAGCTCTTACCTTCCACCACAGCAAGACATGAAATATAAAGGATTAATACACAGCCTATGGTTATTATAAGCCAGTTTCCAGCAGTCGCATCGCGTCTAGAAGCACGAGGGACGCACCGTTCTTGTGTTCGGCTGTCATACATCACCATGCTACCACGGGGAAAATAAAAGGATAACTGTTGGATAGGCAGTAATCGAGTAATCAACTTTGATGGAGAAAGCAGCTAAAAGGTTGAAGTAATTAATCTAAGTACAAAATATTAGGGTAGGAGTGGCGCAGTGGTCTAGTTGCTGTCACCGGCGTGCTTTGTTCCCTATGGTCCGGAGTTCGAGCCCCGCCACTCAACTTCGGTGGTAGGCAGCTTTGCTCTCGTCCGGTTCAATACCACGCCAAACATAGAGAAGCCACTCCAAGTCCCGCCGCTGAGGTTGCCGGTTTCCATCACTGAACACAAAACGTGATAAAAAATGGAAGCGGTGAAATAATCTGGTTCATGACGTCCTTCCCCAATCTCAAAGTTGGCTGAAGCAGTTCCACTGTTCGTATGCAGCGTAATACACAAAGTGGTGACAACTGTGGTGTCTACAACGTATGACATCATAAGTAGCAATTTCCCGTGATGATATTGCTTTGGTCAATTACCAACGATAGAAAAAGTACTGGTGATGTGGCATAAATGAAAATCGTAGGAAATAGTGAACGAATTGCGGATAAAGGGGAACGGTTTTACGATGTTCATCCCACTTTCATGAAATGGTTTGTATACGTTTTAGAAGATACAGCAAATAAAACATTTTTATGTCAACAGTTTGAAATTCTATGCTTTACTGTTGTGCGTAAGCCAGGGAGGATCCTGTTTTTATTGCAGAAGGAGACGTTCCACAAAATTTTGTTAAAGTCAGGGGAATGTTACCCCTGTTGTTGAATTCTTCTGTCGTATGCAGGACTGACCCCAGTTCTATATCCACTCGAAATACACTGGCAGATTGATTCTCTACAACGCAGTGCGAGTTCTTATACAATTGGCGTCTTCACAAAAGGTCGCACAATCCCTGGCCGCTTACTGACGCTCTCAATACACAGGTAGGACACTTCTCACAGTAGATTCTCTGTGTAGGGGGCTTCCAAACGACACGCAAGGCAGGGAAAATACAAAAAGCAACCATGAACCAAAAGGTCCAGTGAGGCATGCACACGACTCACAATCAAATCAAAATGGATGCACCCGTGTCTTCACTACACTTCTGTTCAGAATTGGGCGGTAGCGGTTATCCTGTTGTAGATTTTATTTGAAGAAAATAAAATCGTCATTGCTAACTAGAATCTTGACAACCATCTGGAATTCGTACCTGATCGTTGGTGGGATTACGGTCATGCAGTTCCATTTATACGGTCAGAGGACCATCCTTGAAACATCAATTGTGTTCTCCGGGCCAGAATTGTTGTTTGCAGACGTTTCGTATCCAGGCTAGGCAAAGTCATCAGTGAGTCTTCTCTTATAGTGTCGGGTTAATATTCAGAAACAAATACAAGCACGATGGTCATATAAATTAGACATTCGGGAGGTGTCGCATTGGTGCCGGGCGTATGCAGTGTAGGCCATCAAGAAGAACCACTTCTTTTCTTTGAATTTCTAGACCTTGAGCCAATGATGGCCCTCCAAGTCGTACCGTTTAGACCGATTGAGGCTTGTAAGTAGTACTGCAATTGACGGCTTTACTTTTTTACGCAAAAATGTGTGTAGTTTCTCCGGCATTAAAGAAATACCTTCGTCCGAGTAGATAAAAACAAGTATGCAGAAGGATGGCAAACCAACGAGTGAGACAGTCAATAATAGTGCATGCAAAAATATTGGAACAAGGAAATGAAAACAATGGAGGGAAAGGTCATTGGTCATCGTGGGCAGAAGCGTATCATTCGTGGATGATCAAAGTGCTTATGTGAATACTGTCATATATATATATTTCAAGAGAGAATGAAGGCGTACACTGAGTTGTAAAATGTTTATTTTATATATATATCTTCACACACGTCTGAATCCAGACTGTGTGCCAAACAAATCATGGTACAGTAATTTTTATGAAAAGGAAAAATATTCCATGATTTTCATGCGGGCGGAATATTGTCAGGTTGCCCAGGCCAAGGCAGGTGAATTTTCTTGAGGAATCCACAAAAAGGGAGCCTTTGACTAGCCAAAGCCTGACCTGCAAGGTAGCGGGGTGGTGTGTGGAAACCCCAATCCTGTCATTGGATCATACGCCATTTGGATGGGGTCAAACGTTCAAGGTACCCAATGAACCTCAATGCCGTGTCAAGCCGGTGACCACTGCCACAACCAGGAAGTTGTGTCTGTGGTTCATACGCCTCCTCTTGGTTGGTTTGGAATCAGGGTTTTTGGCCAGGTGAACTACCAGTGGTCCAATAACCCTGTTATATTCCCGGATGTCTTCTTTTCATCCTCCCTTGTTTGGTGGGAAAAACCTGCCACGAGAAGGCAGTGAGTAGGGCTTCCTCAGCAGAGGCTATTTGGGACGCTTGGTCGTATGGGAGCATTTTGCGAGGTGCAAGGGAAGGGTGATCAGCCGCAACGTTAGACTTCCACTACCGACTGTACTGGGGCTTTGGAGGAAACTTTATCAAGTTTTCTTAATGCTGAGTAACTTTATCAAGTGCGTTGGACGGAATAGTTTACCTTCATAGAATTGATCCGACAACAAGACTATTACACACATTCGTGTGATGAACAGCAGATCGGGTGAACTCCATGATCGCGAAGAACTGCTGTTCAGTGATGGAAATTAAAAATCGAAGTCCCGGGACTTGGAGTGCCGAACCGCATAAAGCCCCGCTATTTCAGGTTTGGTGTTTCCTTTCTTGGACTGGATGGGATATTTTTAGCACGAACGAAACGAATCATTAGTCTCTCCCTGGTAATAGGAGCTGAAGAAGTTTGAACAGATCGGAAGGGCCAGAAGTGGAGTCACAGGGGCACCGAAAGAGCCCATAACCTGCGGCATCTTCACTTCATGGGTGATAGGTGACGTCTTATTAAAAGGCGGAAAATTCCACACACCATCATTTCATCTTTTGTCTAATCTTATCCCTCGGTTGGCTGTCAAACATGAATCCTATCGATCATCGGTCCCTACTAGCCAAAAGTGATCGCAGATTAGGAAATGGCACCATTTTTTCAACGCATCGACTATACTGTTGGTTTTCTTTTCTATCGCGAAATGCCGCTTGTTGACTGAAGTTAGGGTTTGGGAGAAGAAAGCCACTGACTTAACATCCTGTTTCTAGTAAGCTGCAATTGCGGTGCGCGACGTATCCACCTCGATTACTGAGGATGTGCTGGGTTTTACGCGTACTATTACCGCATTTTCTAGCACTTTTTATTGTTTCCAGAGAATGCATGCCTCATTATGGCAAGGGTAATGGACAGTGTGAGAAAAGTAGATTCATTTCCTTGGAAAGTAGGAGATCCTTTAGGAGCAGTACGCTAACATCCCAACTACTCGTTCTTGCATTTTGAGGTCTTGATGAGAGATTTTAGTGTTTCCGAATCCGGCTTTTTAAGACCTTTGGGGACTTCCGACCCGAGGTTTTCATCTTTTTCCTCATTAAAATTCGAATTCATTATTTCTCAACACTTCTCTTGCGCAGTGCAGTTTCTAGTCATGTGTACATTGGTGGTGTAGTCTGTAATCTTCCATGTATGCTAACTTTCAAGCTATTCAGAAAGCATGCATATTGCTCGGGTTTTAAGTCAAGTGCATGGAAACGATATGTTGTGGGTTAAAGTAATTACTGGCTTAGGATCAATATCCTTATCCTTGCACAAAGATAGACCCATTTTCAAGACGATCTACGAAAACGCACAGAAAGGAGCAAAGAGAACACTTAGACTTTCCTAATGTCGAGCTCGTACGGTCTCAAGGGATTGTAACGTGTCTGATTTCTCGTTTGTTTTGATGTATTTTGCGTTCAGTCTCAGTGGTCGCCNAGCATCGCTTGTCTGAGACAGCCTTTCATACCCTAGGAGTCGTAGCTAAGACCCGATCTAAGAGTGTGGTCGAAGTCAAAGTTTTATTATGGGAAATACTTACAAGCGGTTTCTTTTCTAGTCTCATAAGGTTTAGCACAGATGAATCGATTCACGGTTCATAGAATGTCACAATTTATCCTTGTTTCGTGCACTGCTACGGATGTTAGAATTTAAGATTTGTCAAAGCTTCATCCAGTTTGTGCTTGAAGGAATCAATAGTGGACGCAGAAATCACGTGTGATGTTAGATAATTCCAAATAGTGCATACTCTGTGGGCGAAAGAATGACGCCGGCATTCTAGTCGGCATTTTTGGAGCACTAATTTGAATGAGTGCCCCCTGAGGTGAGTGTTGGGCGACAAGGCAAAGCATGAACGACATGGGTGATTTGCGTCCTGCATTATTTGATGCACCAAGATCAAGCCCCCTCGAATGCGACGATACTGTGTTGAGTACAGTTGCAATGGTTCCAGTCTTTCCGCGTAACTCTTGGAATACAGTCCCTTGACCATTTTGGTGGTCATTCTTTGTGGACGTTCCAGAATCTTCCGATCACGTTGCAGACATGGATTCCACGNGAACCGCATTCTCCATGTGGGGCCTAATGTAGGCTGATAACAACCGTGGAAACAGCGTATTTACCAAATACTCGCTTTAGCAAACCAACAGTGGTGACAGACGTCCGGGAGCAGTTTAAAGAACAACTGAGGTCGTCTCGGACAATGATACCGAGATCCTTCTCATTTAAGACATGCGGAAGTTGTTGATCCCCTAGGAAATACGGAAATTGAGTTTCGTGGTGAAGATAGATGAGCAATAGGATGAGGGGAGACGAGCCCTACATTTCGCAGACAGATGTCGCTTTTGGATCTTAGCTGAAGCCCGTATGAAGCATTGAATATCTGATAATTCAGTAGCCCTGATAGTGAAAAACGTCAAAGCCCGACCGGTCAAGATCAAAATATCAATAGGTGGCATCTGTGACGTCAGCTCGAAGAGTTTCAAGAAGGATCGTGAGAACTGGTGGAAAAAACTAGCTAGTGAACTGGAAGTCGCAGCTGCATCAAGGAATAGTTAAACACTGTTCCAACTGATGCACAACAGCGGAGGTAGGCGAACCCCGGTTAATGA